TTTTAAGTGACAGCCTGCTTCTCGGGTAGGTGACAGGTCTAAGTTGGGCGATTAACTGTTTGGCTTTGTCTAGGATTTTTTCAATATGAACCTTCCACGTTAGTTTACGGTCTATGGTGACGCCGAGGTAAGTAGCTTGGTTGGACCATGGAATTATGGTGTTTTCGTATTCAAGGGCTACAGGGGTAGCGCCGCCACCCTTGGATAGGTGGATGGCTTGCGTTTTTCTTGGATTTACTCTAATTCTCCACTTGTCTGCCCATTGTTCAAAATTATCTAGGGCTATTTGTAGACGGTGTTTGATAACCCGGTTGTTTCGGGCACGAATAAAAAGGGCAGTGTCGTCGGCGTAAAGGGCAAGGTGCACCTCAGGGGTTCTTGGGATGTCTGTCACCTGCTGTGATCTGATGGGAAGAGGATACAGCTTGGCCGCTTTTTACTTTAAACGACCTGCCGGAGAGATATGAGGCGATAAGTTTAGTCATTGAAGTGGAGAAGTTAAGAGTAATCATTTTTTCTAGTATTCCATGGTGCCAAACCTTATCGAAGGCCTTGGATATGTCCATCAGTACGAGACCCGTTTTCTCCTTTGAATCGAAGCCTTGAGTAATGAATTCAGTAAGCCGGAGAATTTGAAGCTCAGTTGAAAGGCTCCTTCGGAAACCGAACTGTTCTTCGGGGAGGAGCTGTTTGTCTGTGATTTGGTCTTCAAGTCTTTCTTTAATCGCTCTTTCGCAGACTTTCGCAAGCGAAGATAGAAGTGAGATGGGGCGATAATTTTGGGGAAATAATGGGTCCTGCCCTGGTTTGGGAATCATTACAACCTCAGCCTTTTTCCAGATTTTTGGGAAATACTGTGTGGAGAAGATGGAATTTATGAGGATAGCTAGGCTTTTAATGGTTGTTTGGGGGAGCTTTTTGAGGGCGGTGTTAGTGACTCGGTCATGACCAGGGGCAGTTTTATTCTTAAGAGAGTTTATTATTTGGCTAATTTCCTCAGGGGATACGGGAGGAATATCAGAGATTGAGATTGAAGTAAGGGTAGTTCGGACATTACGAGCAATTTCTATGTCTTCTTCATCATAGTCAGCATAGGCTTCATTCGGTGAGAACTGAGATTCGAGCTGGTTAGCAAATATTGTGGCTTTATCCTCCGGGGAGTAGGCTATGCCGTTTGGGCCGTGAAGGGGATGAATGGCTTTTTTGGTGGGGTTGCCTCGTTGTTTCATGGCTTTGATGAGGCGCCAGGTGTTTACGCTGCCTGTTTCCATTTTGCTAAGATTTTCCGACCAGCGCTCGTTATAGAAATCGTTGAGAGCTGAGCGTGCTTGTGATGTGAGGGCGTTGAGATTTTGCCTGTCGGCGGGATCTTGGGTGCGAGCAGCTTGTTTTTTGGCTCGGCGTTTGGCTTTTATTAGGTTTTTGATTCTAGTGGGGAGTTGAAAAGGGGTCCGGACTGGAACCTGAGAAATGGTGGTAGAATTTTGCAATGCAGAAGTGACTCTATTTGTTAGGGAGGTGGCGAGTACCTCGACTTCTTCCTTGGTCGATGGGGTTCTGGAGGGCGCGGGAAATTGCTCTAGAATGTTTTTAAAGAGAATCCAGTTTGTGCTAGAGCGATTGTAGGTGGCTGTATTGTTTGTTAATTGGTCGCCAATAGTGATGAGTACTGGATTATGATCGGAGGATGTAGCATAAAGCGTGGAGAGCTGAATGTCATGTGTGATATCTCTCGTGATAGCAATGTCCAGTACATCTGGCCTTGCGTTTGCCTTGCAGAAGGTAGGCTCTTCAGGGCCATAAATTTCCCAATGATTATTAAAAGCCAGTGCAGACAGCTTGTTGCCATTTGGGTTGCTCGTGCGTGAGTGCCATGCTGGTTTCTTAGCATTGAGATCTCCCGCAAGAATGATTGGGAAGGACTTAGAAAATGCCAGGGTGTAGTCAGCTTCAATGAAAGGGCGTTGGGGGGGGTAGTATGCCGCAATAAGTTGTATTCTACCTTCAAAACTTGTTTCGATGAAGATAGAAGTGGTTTCTAGAGTTTGTAGATCATTGGTAGGGACAAAGCAGTGGTTTATCTGACTTTTGACAAAAATGGCAGTGCCTCCACCTTGGCCGCCACGTGGACGGGGGGTGAGATACGCTGTGAAGCCAGGGAGGTTAAAGGTAAGGTTTTCTTGAATTTTTGTTTCGCAGATGAAAATAGCGTCGGGATTTTCTTCGGATATAAGGGTGAGCAGCTCGTGTTTTTTGTTGGCTAGACTGTTGGCATTCCAGGATAATATCTTAAGAGAGCTTGGATTGTAATTAGTGGGCATTATGGGGATTGGGTTGAATGCTTAGAAGAGATTTTTCTAAATTATCGGTTTTTGAAACCAGCATGTTAAGAGTGTTAATAATTGGCTCTAGAAGTTTGGAAAAATCAAGGTTAGAGGGTGGCTGGGAAGGAAGTTGTTGGACTTGGGGGGCTAATACATTACTATAAGTTAAGCCAGGAGTGGTTTGCCTGGGAGCTGCTTCGGAAATTGGTTTCTTGTTGTTGGGATTTTTTGGGCAAACCGGGGCGTTGGCCGTGTGGCCACCACCACAGTTTGCGCAGACCGGGTTGGTGGTGGTCAGAGTTGTGCATTCCCTGGAGAAGTGTGGCCCAGCACACTTTAGACACTTTGGAATGGCCGTGCACTTAGTCTGCACGTGGCCGAACCTTTGGCACCTGAAACATTGCCCGATGTTGGAGTTTCGGCGCAGTGCTTCCACTTTAATTCTGATGTTACACAGGGAGTCCAGGTTAAAGATGTCTTTGCATGTGAGTGGGAGCTTAACTAGAATGAGAGGCATTTCCTCTCGGTCTTTGCCTCTCTTCATTCTAGTTATGACTGTGGCCGGGAATTTAGATTTAATCTCTTGGGTTACGTCTGCAATGGGGATTTCCATTGGGACACCTCTTATAACGACCTGAAGTAGGCGTTCCTCGGGAAGTAGGTATGAGTGAAATTGCTCTTGGTTGGTTGTAAGGAAGGCAGTGATTTTGCGGTAGCTGTCGATGGTAGAGGGGTAAAATCTGATACCATCAGATACATTAGTGGCCTTGTGGTAATGCCAACCGCGTAGAGAGAATTCTTTGGAGATGTTTAGCCAACGTTTTTTAATTCTCAGAATAATAGGTGGGATCTTGGGGCTGGAGTCATCGTTAGAGGTGGACGCAGCTGGGGCGGCTTGGTTACTGTGCGAGGAGCTGGCCACAGATTGCAAAATCGGGGTGGGAGGTCTGTAAGTAGACCCGGCTATTTGTTGGGTTGGAAATATAAGAGGCGAAACAGGGTTGTTGGGTCTAGTAGGGGTAGGGGGTCTGTAGTTTGACCCTGTCGTGTTGAGTTGAGAAGAATCTTGGTCTTGGGAGAGATCATCTACTGTTTTATGTTTTTTGGGACCTTGTGAGGGGTAGGGATGGTTACTTTCCTCAGAATTTGGAAGTTTGGAGTTTGACTGATTGTCATCCAGGCTGGTAGATCTTCTTCTTTTGTTTGGTGTCTCTGAATTGGGGTTTGAAGAAGGAAAAAGTCTAAGAATTTTTTCATCCGTGGTGAGCTGGGCAGAAGTTGTAGTGTCCATGTTATCTGGGTTGTTTTTCTGCTGGACCGCAAGGGTCAAAGACGCAATTTGTCCCTGCAGTTCTTTTATCATTGTAGAAAGGGATTCTACCATTTTAGTGAGATTGGCATTTTCTGATGCAAGACGGTTTTTTTCCGCCAGAATTTCAGCCAGATAGGAGTGAGAATTGTCAATTGCTGATTTTGGCAATTCGTAGCTTTTGTTTGGTTGGGGAATTGAGTCTTCAATGACTTTAACACATTCAGCTACGTGGGATGGATTAATATTTTTGGTTTGAGTGGAAACTCCAGTTTCTTTGATTTTAGAAATTTTTTTCTTATCTTTTTTGTTGATTTGAGAATCCAGAATTGATTTTTTTAGGGAAATTTTTGGCTTGTCCCCTTTTTCTGGGGTTCTAGCGGTTTTTTTTGAGATATTAAAGACTTCAGAGTCTTTAATTGGGGATAAATCAGGAGATTTAAGCTCGGCAGAGTTGCCTATATTGGGCATATCTCTTCCGGCTGGTTTTACAGTGTTTGGATCCATGTGAAATAATTTTTAAATGGGTTAACTGTAGAAACAGCAAAAATAAAATTATTAATATTTTAGGATTAAAATTTGTTAAAAAACAGAATAATTTTAATAATAAAATGTGTAATTAAAATTGTTAGGGGGGATAAGACAGTAGAAAACAGTTTAGGGGTGAAAATTTGAGAAATAATGCCACACGAGGCTTCAAAAGACCGCTGGCCAATCAGCGAGCTAGAATTGGGGGCGTGGCTTGTGAAACCAGTTGTAAAGTTTATAAATAGGAGTGCCTGCGAGCAACTGCAGCAGACCCACCGCAGCGGCCGAAGGCTACGGAGCTCCGAATGCGTGCGCATGCACTCAACTTTTAATGATTTGCAGGTTGGAAAATAACAGTGTAAATATGAAAAAGTATAAAAGAGTTGATTTAAAATAGAACATAAAAGATTAGGTAAAAATGACATGCATGATAAAAGTAATAAATAGACAAAAATAAACAAAAATGGACTAACCTCGCGTGAACAAAAAATTTCAGTTGAAGACAAAAATGACCCATGTATATCACAAAAATAAGCACAAATAAATAAATATTATATTTTATAATAAAGGGGGGACCGACGCCTACTCAATTCAGCGTCGGTATAACCTCTCTACACAAAAATCGCAATATCTATGAGCTGAGTGAATATCGAATCGTCGAATGTCGAAATGAATGAATGCTGCGGTTAATATTGTGGCCTCAACCATACTGGACTTTTGGTCCGGAAACAGGGTCGGTATCAGTGAACCTTATGCCCTGAGTCCTGATTTAAAAAATTAAGAGAGAAATTTTGCAAATTGCTTTTGTTACTATGGATAATTTTTGATTTATTATGAATTTAGGTTAGCTGGAGAGAATAAGATCACAAATTTTTGAATATTTATTTAAGTTTAGTTTTTAAAGTTTAAGTATACATAAGTTTATTTATAAAGTTAAGAACCGCCAGCGGCCATTACTTTATCTGGCAGGGGACTGCATGTGAAAGACTATAGAGTCAGCCACATAACAGCGTCTGCCTTGTTGATTCTAGTAGTCCTGAAAGTAAATTTAAGTATTATAGCATTTATTGATTGGTTAAGTAATAGGTTAGGTGGAAGGAGATTGGATTTGGAGTTTGAGTGATGGGTTTAGCCCGGGTCTACGTTGCCCAGAATGCCTCTGTAGAGTCTTCGGTTGTTTGGGTCATAGTCAATTTGTTCTAGCACACAAGGGTTTTCTGAGGTTCTCATACGTTCTACGGTGTTAATTGTCTGTGCTTTGACTATGCCTTTTATTGTTGTTAGCTTAAGGTCTTCTCTTAGCTGAGAATTCCGAACGAAGTACGGAGCGCCTGTAATGTACCTCATGACTTTGTTCTGTAAGACCTCAAGCTTGTTCATGTGAGTATTCGCCGCAGATGACCAAGCTGGGCAGGCATATAGTAAAATTGGCCGGATTATTGCTGTCCAAGTAAGCCTTCTGTTACGAAGTGACAACTGACTTCTTGGGTGTATTAAATGCCTCAGCTGGGTAAAGGCCAGGTTTGTTTTCATTACGGTGTTGGTAATGTGGGATTTCCAATTTAGTCTTTTGTCCATGGTGACTCCAAGATATTTGACCTCTGATCTCCATTCCAATTTTTGGTCTTCGTAGGTCAGGTTTTGTGGAAGGACAATGTTTGGCCCCTTAGCAAACATGATAGCTTGGGTCTTGCGTGGATTTACTTTGATGCGCCATCTATCCGCCCAATCCTCGAGAAGGTCGAGCCCACCCTGGAGCAGTTTCTGGATCTGTTGTACATTCCTGCTGGAAGTATATAGCGCCGTGTCGTCTGCGTACATCGCCACTTCCAGACCAGGGGGCTTTGGGATGTTTGACATGTAGATGTTGTATAGTGTCGGGCCCAGGACAGATCCTTGTGGTACTCCTGCTCTGCAGGTGTGAGTGGCTGACTGTGACTCGCCTACCACTACCGAGAAAGTTCGGCGGCTCAGGTACGAGGATATTAGTTTTGTTATTTGTGGAGTAAAACCCATTTCTATCATTCTTGCCATGATGCCCGGATGCCATACCTTATCGAAGGCTTTCGAAATGTCCATTAGTACCATGCCGGTTTTGTTTTTATTGTCAAATCCCTTCGTGATGTGGTTTGTCACCCGAATTAGTTGAAGTTCAGTGGAGAGTCCAGTTCTAAAACCGAACTGCTCGAATGGAATGGCCCCTTCGACTAGCTGTTCGTCTATTCTAATTTTTATGATTCTCTCTGCTACTTTTGAGAGTGATGACAGCAGGGATATTGGTCGGTGGTTAGCTGGGTGTATGATAGGTTGGTTTGGTTTTTGGATTAATATAATTTTAGCCTTTTTCCAGATTTCTGGGAAGTGTTGTGTGGCAAGGATCCCATTTATAATGAAGGTTAATATCCTTACTACATTATCTGGCATTTTCTTTAGGGCTATGTTAGGAATTTGGTCTTGACCTGCTGCAACTCTGTTCTTAAGTGCTCCTATTATGCTGGTAACTTCTTCTACCGTGGTAGGGGAAATATTGGGCTCTAGTACTTCTTCGTTTAAAATTCTGTGATGAACCATTAATAATTCACCGAAGTTTTCTGTTACCTGCAAGAGGTAGTACATCCACCAGCCAACAGATGCCGTACCATGTACTAAAACAACTAATTTTGACAACCCAATGGAGCAGAACGACATGATGTCGTTTTTAGACGATTTCTTTGTGCAAGTTTTAACTATAAAAGGCGGATTTGGACATTAATAAAATCAGTCTATTGGTGGCTCAAATTCCGACTGGTCTAATACTGGATGGAAGAACCAATACCGATACTCGAATGCACAAGGACTATAGTTTCTAGTGATATAAAACAGTAGGTTAACCTGGGGCTTGTATGCTGGGCTTTTATGCTGAGCTTGTATGCCGTATTTAACCTATTTGCTATCCTGCCACCCGTCCTGTAATTAATAGTTTATCTACATTTAACATCCCAGTGAACATAACCTCGCTTATATATTTTGCAAATAATATTTCTTCTTTATAGCCCCAGTTGCAAGTGAACCTGCCTGTCTGTGGAGGAAAACGGAGCCTGTACCTGCCTGTTGCCTTTTGGGGTATCAAGAACGAAATATTAACCAGTTTGTACACACAAAATTGTATAATACCTGTCTACGATAGACCTTTATTTTATGTATATTATGTATTATTATACTCATAATTTTGTATATATTGTATATATTTCTATGATAGAATAAACAAGTTTAAGTTATTTTGGCATTTAAATTAAACCACAAAACCTGAACTGATTCTCAAACCCTATTTCTCCACTGTAAAGTTACTCGAGGTAGGTATTCTCTCTGTCGAAGAACTAGAGAGACCCTATAGTGCGTATTTAAGGCCATTACCAGCCTAGGTACGACACAATTCTTATGGTTCTGCGTATTCGTCTGTCTTCTATTTCATACTCATCAAGACCTTCGTTTGGTGAGAATGTTTGTTCGAGATGTTCGGCAAATGTTTCAGCTTTCTCTTCCTCAGTATACACCAGTCCTCCTGGACCATGTAGTGGTTGATTTGAGTTGTTTATTTTGTTTTTTAAGTTTCTGGCGAGTTTCCAGAAGTTTGGTGCTGCGGTGTCCATGTCAGCCAGTCTTTTTGTCCATTGGGAATCTCTGAAATCACGGAGCTCTTGCTTGACTTGAGCTGTTAGGGCATTGAATGTTCTTCTATCTGCAGGGTCCAATGTGCGCTGGGCAATCTTTTTAGCTGCACGTTTTCTATGTAGTAAGGCCTGCAGACGTCCTGGGAGTAGGTAGGGGGATTTGTATTCCTCTACTTTCGTGATTGTGGCTGCCATTAGTGCTTCCGTGATATTTTTGGACAGTGTCTTTGCTTGGTTTTCAACTTCGGCTGGAGTCGCTGGGTATTCTTCTGGGACTGGGGCTTGTTCCATAATGTTATGGAATTTATGCCATAAAATCTTTTTCCTCGTATATGTCTGGGGGACTGGTGTATATGGACCCAGAATAATGGATACTGGGTTATGGTCTGAGGAAGTATCTTCATCTGCAGTGATTTGAAGGTCTTGTTGGTAGAGTTTCGTGATTGTGATGTCGATTACATCCGGTCTGCTGGTTCCGGAGAAGTAAGTAGGTGTAGTGGGGCCGTGTATTTCCCAACCTTGGTTGGAAGCTATATTGAATAGTTTTCTGCCATAGGCGTTTGTTAGTCTGCTGTTTCAAGCCGGATTTTTAGAATTCAGGTCTCCCGCAAGAATTGTTGGGATGTTTTCCTCCATTACTGAGGATATTTCAGCGTCAGGATATTGTCTTCCGGGGGGTAAGTAGGCACTAATGACTTTTATTCGGCCAGAAAAGCAGGTGTCAATATATATAGCAATTGATTCCAGCGTTTGGTGATCTGTTGGTGGGGCAGCACATTGCGAGAGATCTTTGCGCGCCAGTATCATCACTCCACCGTTTGCGCCTTGGTTTTGCCTGTGTTTAGTATAGATATTATAGTTAATGATGTTTGGGGAGTCTCCGTCTCTTAGCCTTGTTTCGTTTAATGTTATTATGTCAGGAACCTCTTCTGCAATTAAAACCTCCAGTTCAGCTTTTCTTAGTTTGAAACCATTAAGGTTCCATGATAGAATTTTAATCGAAGAAGGTTTACGCATAATTTGGTGGTTGTTGGTTAAGCCTATTGAATATCTTCTCATGATTGACCATCCTGGCCTCTAGACCTTGTATGGCGGATGTTAGTATGTTTAGCATGTTGGCAAGATCTGCTGGCTGGCTCGGAGTGGGCTGCCAGATTATTGGGGGCTCCGTATGGGAAGTTGTCAGGTGCTTGGCAGCTTGGCTATAGGTCATGGCATTTACTTTAGAGTGCTGTGGGTTTTGCTGCTGTTTTTGCTGATTTTTGGGGTTTTTTGGACAAATAGGGGCGTTTGCCGTGTGAGCCTGTCCGCAATTTGCACACTTGGTTGGATGTTCATATGGTTTTGTGCAGGTTCTGGTGTCATGAGCATCGGCACACTTCAGGCATCTGGGCGCTGCCGTGCATCGCGATTGGGCGTGCCCAAAACGCTGACATCGGTAGCACTGTCCAATATTTGCATTACGTCGCAGTGCCTCTACCTTTATTCGCATAGAGCAAAGCGTTTCTATGTCATATACTTTTTTATCCTCCTTGGATACTTTGATTAGGATTAGTGGCATAGCTATTCTATCCTTCCCGGATTTAAGTCTGCTAAGGGATGTTGGGATTATTCCATGGTCGTTTAGGTCTTTTTTGACTTCTTCTAGATCGATTTCCAGTGGTAGGCCTCTTATAACCACTTGGAGCAATTTTTCTTCAGGAAGCAGGTATGTATGGAACTGTTCCTTGTTGTGTTGTAGGAAGCCTGTTATGGATCGAAAAGACTCGATGGAGTCAGGAAAAAATTTGATGCCATCTGCCGTGTTTATGGCCTTGTTAAAATGCCATCCTTTGGCCTTAAATACATTTGACACAAGAGTCCAGCGTTTTTTTGTTCGAAGAACAATTGGTGGTATTTTTGGTTGGGTGGTTGTGTTTTGCTGGCTTTGAGTGGTTTGCTCAGTGCTAGTGCTTTCCTGTTCCATGGCATCGTCGGTTGGTGGAGTATAATTAAGTATAATCTCCTCCTGGACATCTTGGGTGTTTGCAGTGGGAGCTGCTAGTTGTGTGTTTAGTTGTTCAGGCGGGTAGTATCCAGTGGGATTTTTAGTCGGTAGCGCTGGGAAATCTTGAACTCCAGTTTGGGCATTGTCAGAATGGACCCTTTTTCTTTTGTTAATAGGTTCTCCGTCATTTTGATTTTCGTTGCAGTTGGACAATTTTGGTGTTTCAGTGACTGACGTTTGTTTTAATACATCTAGTGAGTTTGTTGGTTTTTCGTGATTGTTTGCTGCCATGAATTGTGCTAATCTTGTATTTAACTCCTCTATTTGAGCACCTTGTCGGGTTAGTAGCCCGGTTTGGGCTGCTAGTTGCTTGGATAGGCTATCAACCATGGCCGCCAGTCTTGCATTTTCTCTTATGAGACGCTCGTGTTCAGCATTTTCTCGGGGACTTTGGAGTTTATTTATTTTTTCCTGGATGTTTGGAGAGATAATCTTTTGTTTTTTGACTTGGTTTTTGGGTATGGTTCCAGTTCCAGTGGAACCTGAGTGTTGTGATTTATCTATTGATTTTTTGGGATTTTTCTCATTCTCTTTTGAATCTTTTTTTTGTTGTTTTTTGGTTTTTTTTTCATCTTGTTCGCCCCTGGGGGGGGGTTCGTATAAGGGAATTTTTTTTAATAAACGGATTTCCCGCTGCGTCAAACTCTAGTTGGACTAGAGAGGAGTTTGGTGTGAAAATAGAATTATTTATGTCATTTGAGTCAGATAAAAAACTGCTCAGGGAGGGAATTATGCTTGGTAATGGTTTAGACGACATTTTTAATTAATAGAAATAGTCAAAATAGTTGGAAAGATTAAGTTATCTCAGTTTACGCGAGTTATGGATCAATAGTTGCACCTAATGGTATAAAATACACAGGCAGCCAATAGGATGCCGTGGTGCAGTGGGCGGGGCTTGTGAGCTCTGTTGTGAATGTTATAAATAGGAGTACTTTCAAGCGCTGGTATTTTCGTTCATTGTTCTTATATTCGTATTGCGACTTTTGCAGAGAGAGGTTATACCGACGCTGAACTGAGTAGGCGTCGGTCCCCACTTTACTACAAAATTTTTATATTTATTTATATTTGTGAATTTTTGTGATATTTATGGCCCATTTTTGTTTTTCATCCGCTATTTTCTCACACGAGGTTAGTCTTTTTGTTTATTTTTGTTTATTTTTGTCTATTATACTCTTATCATGCATGTTATTTATTTAAATATTTATGTGTTATTTTAAAACAACTCTTTTACTCTTTTTCTATTTATACTACTATTTCCAAACCTGTAAAACATCAAAAATAAGTGCATGCGCACGCATCTCAGAGCTCCGTAGCCTTCGGCCGCTGCGGTGGGTCTGCTGCAGTTGCTTGCAGGCACTTCTATTTATAAGCTCTTCAACTGGGCGCACAAGCCACGCCCCCTATCCTAGCTCGCTGATTGGCCAGCGGTCATTCCAAGCCTCGTGTGGCACTATTTTCTCTACTTTAACCAATTTTAACTACGTGTCCGTCCCATTTACAAACCTATTTTATTGAAAAAATCGGCCCTTTTAATAAAATAGTGCTGTACTGTCCATATATTTTAAAATACCTTATTTTAACTTTACTTTATTTCTAAAAATTTTTAATAATGTCAGATATGCCCGATTTAAATATCGAATTAAACACAACTGCCTTAAACGGCGCTAAAACCCCCCCCATAGAAGAAAAAGACATTTTTAATGCATCTTCTAAATTAAATAGAACCCCAGAAAAAGGGGCTAAACCAAAAATCGTACAAAAAAATCCTAAAAATTTACTCACCACAAAAACAAAAAAAAAATCAAAAAATGAAAAAAATAACGAAAACAAAGTCCCTACTACCGAAAAAAAAGCAACAATCTCCCCAAACGCTGGTGACCTAATCACAAAAAAGTTCCAAGCACTAAATTCTTCAGCCCACCCTATCCACAAGGGTTACGAGCCTGAAAACTCAAAACCAGACCTCAAAGCCATTGAGGTAACATTTCAAGAGCTTAACTCTTCAGCCGACCTTATTCAAAAAGGTTATGAAAACGAAAAGGCCAAATCTGTCCTCACTAAATCCACCCTAGAAGAAGAAAACGTCAGACTTTCTCGGGAAAACTTCAGACTTATCCAAATGGTTGAAAACCTGGAAAACAATCAGGCTGCCTACAAACTGCAATTGCAGGAACAAACTAATCTAATAAAGGGCCTTCAGGACCAAATCCAGTCATTAAACATTGTAATTACTCGTCTCTCCGAACAGATGGACACTTCAACCCCACCCCAATTAACCACTGAGGAAAAAATTCAAAGACTTTTCCCACCATCAAACCCCTTAATGGAGAAACCGAACAAAAGAAGAAGATCCACTAGTCTAGACAGAAATCAGCAAAACCAAGATTCCACAATCACCCCTAAAGGCCCTAAAAAGCATAAAACTTTCGAAAATCTTCCTCATGCAATTCAGTCCTCTCAAATCTCACCTAACCCACTCTCCGACCCAGCTGTAAATCAGGAAATCTCACAATACAACTCTCAAGTCCCCTCAAATATCGGAAACGATCAAAATCAAGCTTACAGATCTGAATATGTCCCCCCAAGTTCTCAACCAACTGAATCCCAACCAAATGTGCATGAAAATCCCCTGGCAGGACCTTCAACCCCCTCAAACATTGGAAACGACCAAAATCAAACTCACACTTACACACTTAAGCCTCAAGTAACCATACTCAACACCACAGATAGTAATTTCGAGCTTACCACGGATCACAGTCAACCCCGCCCCTCGTCTTATGTCCCCCCAACCCCTCCCCCAGCCCAAGTTCAATCACTTTCTCAGCCAAACACTTCTGCTGAACCTACCACAGCCAGAGGTGACACAAATACCCCTAAAATCCCCCCAATAGTGCTTAGGCAAAAAAAAAGATGGCAACAAGTCTCCACTGAATTAAATCGTCTTGGCTGGCAATATAGTAAGGCCACAAACATTTCCGATGGCATCAGATTCTATCCATCTAACATAGAGAGCTACAGAAAAATAACTACCTTCCTGAAAACAAATGGAGAAGAGTTTTACTCCTTTCAGCTCCCGGAGGAGCGCCTTCTACAGGTTGTGATCCGTGGTATCCCTCTAGAAATCCCTATTCTAGACATATCTGATGAAATAAAAACTAAATTCACACCCACTGTCATTACACGTATGAAGCGAGGCAAGGAAAGAGAGGAAATGCCTCTAATCCTTGTCAAACTCCCTCAATCAGAAAAAAACATCTTCGACCTTGATTCGCTCTGCAACATGAAAATTAGAGTCGAGGCTCTACGCCGTAATTCGAACATTGGCCAATGTTATAGATGCCAAAGATTCGGGCACTTACAGACGAAGTGCACTGCCATTCCCAAGTGCTTAAAATGTGCCCAGCCCCACTTAACACGGGAATGCACTGTCTCAGAAAATTCCACCCCGATCTGTGCAAACTGCGGTGGTAGTCACACGGCTAACGCCCCAATCTGCCCAAAAAACCCCAACAACCCCAATAAACCTCCATCTCAACAAACCAGACCTGTCACGACAGGAATCACCTACAGCAGCATTCTGGCCCCACAACTTCAAGCTCAGCCCCCCTCTAACAACCCTTCATCAGATCTTGCAAGTGTTTTAGTTGCAATCACTAGTACACTCAACATGCTGGTTGCCAAAACTGACAAAATTGAGGCCTCCCTCCAAAGCTCTCGACCACACCAACATTATGCCAAATAGCAAACCAACCACCCTAAAAATCATTTATTGGAACGCAAACAGCCTTAACAATAAAAAACACGAACTTATTAACCTCATATCAGAAGAAGATCCGGACGCTATCCTTGTTGGCGAAACGAAGATCCTGGTCAATAATACTTTTAATCTTCCTGGTTATACCTCCTACCTATCCCCCCGTCCTCGCGGCGGTCAAGGAGGAGGTACGGCGATATTTATAAAAAATCATATTTCTCACTGCTCCGCCCCAAAAATTATATACCAAACTCTGGAGATCACGTCAATTTACATTGAGACTGGCTTTGCAGGCAGAATTCTGCTGTCTGCTGCATACTATCCCCCAAACTGCCCTTACATCGAAGCAGACTATACCAAAGCCTTATCTGATGATTTTCCCACAATCCTAGCTGGTGACCTCAATGCAAAGCACCCCAACTGGAACTCCAGAATTACCAACCCATCTGGTAAAAAATTATCTGCTCTTGCCCACAGGAAACACTGGGAAATTCTCGGCCCAACCGAGCCCACAATCTGCAACGCCAACTCCAGACCCGACGTAATTGACATTGTGATCTCCAAAGATATCCCAGTGAATCTCCAACTAAGCACACTATTTGCCACCTCGTCGGATCACAATCCAGTCATCTTATTAATGGGTGCCCCCTCAGCCCCTTTCTCCAATACATTCATAAAAACCAACATAAACTGGATCCTATTTAAAAATCTTCTGGAACAATTCCCTCCCCCAACTCATGAACCAACCTCCCAAATGGAAATCGATTATCTTGCCACCTCTCTGTCCAATAAACTAACCACCGCCCTGCAGAATTCGACTACAACCTCCCGAATCTCAGCCCGTGCCCCCTACAACCTACCAGCCCGAATAAAGGCCCTTATAAGGTCCAAGAGGAGAGCCAAGAAGATCGCAGCCCGCACCCTCGACCCCCAAGACAGGAGAACTCTAAACCTACTCACCTCCCAGGTTCGCAACTCCTTAAATGATTTTCATAATGAGATCTGGACAGAAAATCTATCTAACATGGAAACTGGCAGCCTTAACACATGGCGCCTCATAAAGGCAATGAAAACTCGCGGTAATCCTCCCAAAAGAGCACAACATCCACTCCACGGCCCAAACGGCCTAGTCTTCACTTCTGAACAAAAAGCTGCAATCTTCGCCTCCCAACTTGAAACCCAATTCTCACCGAACGATGGCGATTCCGATTATGAGGACGAAGACGAGGAAATTTCCCAAACAATTCGTCGCACTCTTGACACGAACACTATCTCAGATATTCCTCCTGTGACAGAAGATGAAATCTCCCAAATCATATCCTCCCTTAAACCCAAAACTGCCCCAGGACATGACAAAATCTCAAACACGGCCCTTAAAAAACTACCGCAACCTACAATTTCAACTCTTACTATTCTAATTAACGCCATCTTTAAAAATCTTTATTTCCCATCCATCTGGAAGAAAGCCGAAATTGTCATGATCCCAAAACCCCACCAAGACCCCCTTTTCCCCCAAAACTACCGCCCAATCTCGTTAATCTCGTCACTTGCCAAAATATGCGAAAGGGCACTAAAA